AAATTTCGTTAAGTTAATTCACATTGGAGGCACATAAAAAGTGGTTGGTCCGTTGGGATATTTATTATTCCCGTCGATCTTATTATTTTCTATTTAAAATTAATATGCTAATTGCGTAATAATTACGTGTACCTTTTAACATTTAAACTTTGTGTGGAAAAATATAAACACACACGGTGAAGCAACACGCAGAGAGGTAAACGTGCAACAGAGGAGGTTGAAATTGAAACGGTGCAACAACTTCCCTGCTAGCGTAACGTGGCTTGGCTTATTCCGGCGGTAATTTGAAGTGCTATAAAACGGGAAGAAAAACCGTATATCAACATTTTAAAGGTTATAAAGAACTTCTCTTCGCAAAGTCATTTAAAAAAACCGACGAGCAAAAATTTTTAAACTTCCTACAATTGTTTGTACAATTCGTAATCTTATAAAGAAGAAGAAGAAGAAGAAGAAGAAGAACGAAAAAGGAAAAAGCAACTTCCGCAACGAAAAGGGACATTTGAAAAAATTAAACTCGAAAATATAAAAATAAAGTGTTTCAACTCAATTTTTCTATTCTATCTTCTTATTCGAATCGGAAAGGAAGAATTTCGATCTTTCTTAAAAACGCGCACGCACGCGTGAAAGAAAATTGAGTCTTAATCTTCGTCCAAACTTGCCCCCTTTAATTCAATTGCCCGCGATCGAGATTATCGAAAAGGGAAAGCAACATTTCGATCGAGGCGGCCAAGTCGCCTAGGAGAGTCGAGGAATCCAAGTTGCGCTAATTTAATTCCGGCTCTCAATTATCGGTCGCGTCGGATTCCCTGGGCAGCTCTAACTTTCGACCGTCTCGCTTGGAGGGGGAGGGCGGAACACAGCCGCGAGATCCTCGCACCCCTTGTATTCCGCCACTTTATCTTGGGATTGACGTTTCATCCGGGGGAATCGACAGACCGAGAAGCGACGGGATTGCTTTGCGACCGCGTGCGACGTCGGGGAATAAAGGCGGAAAGAAACAGCGACAAAATGGCGCAAAGCCCGGAGAAACAAGGGAGAAGAAAGGAGAGAATGGGGGGATCGTAGTTGTAGCGAGGAAAATTTGAAGCTGACTCGGAGAAAAGAATTGTGACGAGACGAAAGAATGTCGAGGATGTGGTTTTGTGCTCGAGTGTGTTTGCGCTTGATTCGAGGGTTTAGATACGCGTTTATTAATTTTGATTATGAATTTTCTTATCGATGTTTTTGATACAACGATTAGAAAATGTATATGCTATTCGTTAAAACGTTTAGATTTTAATCCGGTAATCATTATACCGTTTTAATTTGATTTGGCTGTATCTCATCCTCGTATCAACCGTTCGTTTCACCATCTTCCGTACTTATTCCTCAAGCACGGAGAGAATTCAAGACGAAGGAAGAAGTTGCCAGAGACATCTGGAGAAAAAAACGAAGAGAGAGAAGAGAAAATGCACTTTCTCCCCGCACTGTTGAAACACCTATCTCTCCTATCCTTTCTTTTCCTTCCTTCCTTACCTGATGATTTGACTTTATAATCGAGACGGACTCGTTCAATTACAATGGAATTTCTCGCGGAATTTCGCGCAAACAGTGGCGCGATTTCGAGGACGAGTCGATCGTGGCCGGGTAAATATTCGAAGCCTTCGTGGCCGGGCTTGCTGCCGGATGCAGACGGCCGAGAATCGATGGGATAAACGATCTCGAAGTTAACGATTAGTGAGGAAGGAGGAAACAATATTTGTCCGTCTATCGCGCAAATACATTTGTCCGTTTGCGATCGACTACGGTTCCATTCCATCGAAATCTCTGATTTCATTGACGAGCCTCGCTCAGCAGTTTCCGGTTCTCCACGCGACCTCCCCCCCCCCCTCTCATCCCCTCCATTTGTTCTCTCCATTTTCCCTCGTCGAATAAAACATTAAGAAAGATTGGTTAACGCACGAAAATACTCGAACCAGCGTTATCGTGATTACCTTATCGTAAAAATGTGATGGTTGTGCACGGGTTTTTAAATGTAAACATATCGTTTTTCGATGCGTTTTATTTATCCTTCTTTTTTTCGAACTCTTTTTATCTTCTCTCTCTCTTTTTTAGAACAATGAGAGTAGAAACGACGTTCCAAAATATTATATCGCGATATTCGATTTCGCGATATAATATTAGACATTAAATTTTAACACCGAACAGAACGAAAGATGAAGAGAAGTGGCGATAGGATTTTTTCCCACTCAAGCTCCCCTAACGTTTCGAGTCACGCTTTTATGCTTCAATGGCGCGAGCGCAACGACATCGTAAATTACAGTTTAATTAAAATTGAAAGGGGCCCGATCACGCAGTTTCACGGTGAGGGAGAACTAACAGCTAGTGATTGGTGTCCCACGTCATCTTCTACTTTCCGTTCTCCTTTCAAAGTCCACGCAGTCAAACGAAGTTCAATCACCTCTCCCACAGCCTTTTATACTTTATAGCAAGCGCACGGCACGATAGGGCCATCGATGCGCTTTTGTGTCGAACAATTGCCTACTTCGACGCACTATACTTTTATTACGTAACACCGATGGCCAATATGCGCACCCGTGTAACGTTGGAATTCGTGAACCTGAAAAATTTCTTTTTTCACATCGTATCGATATTACTTTTATAACGCCTCTTTGAAAATTCTTCTTCGTTTTGAAAGATAATCGAATTATAAGCCTCCATTGTCAAACGAGTTTATTATATTAAGCTAATTGATTGACAGACCAAGCTTTGATCAAGTTTCAAATAAAAATTAAATTGGTTATTCGTTCGTTCGTAATTTAAAATTTGTAAAAGGTAAAACGTTTTGATTCAAAGATAAGATAAATTTTAACGAAATGATCGATATAAAATTTACGATAATTGGAATTACGACACACTATGCATTTCTATAAGGAAATTTCATTGCCAGTTTTACATGGCAATGTTACACTGTGAAAAATAATACGAATCAACGAAGCGAAAGTATTGGTAATTTGATTTAGAATCGGCGTGAATTTTACAATTCGTCAATTCAGCAATATCAGTTGCCGCTTTTTTCTTTCCGAGACTATTAAATTATCTTTTTTATTGTAGCAATAAAATTGAAACGATAGCGCGTTCTAAAATTCAAAAAAATACCTGCCATTAAATATTGCCATCTATAAAATGTTTGAATGATGCGGAAAAGAACCGGTCGATATTCAGCGCGAAGTTAGCTACGCATGCGCTTCGATTATGCTTCGTACCGAGCAACTTCAGGGCGGTCCACAGTGGCAATCAGGCAACTGGGAGGGGAGGGCACTTTTGTCAATAAAATCTCTTTTATTATTCTTATACAAAAGAAGTTTTGTTGTAAATAACCAAAGGATTAATATTACTTAAGGAATTGGAAGAACACGTAAGTACCGATATATTCGACGCATTTTTTCCATAAATTCGTATTCGTTTTCTTTAACTCATCTTGTCAAATTGTTTTTCTATGGATTCTTTTCTTATTTGTTCATTTAACTTTTTCATCTTTAATGTTTCGATATAAATTTCGTGAATCGTATTTTCATTTCAACACCTAATTTTTTGTTCTTTAATTTATTTATTTTTGTTTGATAACATAACCTCCTAATTATGTGTTTTCGGCATACGGTTTATGAAATAATTTTACCAATCGTTCTAATTTTTAATTTAATGAAAGGAACTTTAAGTAAAAGATTGACTCGTCAGAATAATGGTTGGGTTTTTCATTCCAGTATATATTATTTCTTCGAAATGTCGACATCTGCGATATATATTTTAGACGTAAAGGGTAAGGTTTTAATTTCACGAAATTATCGTGGAGACATAGAAACAGGTGTTATAGAGAAATTTATGCCTCTTGTAATGGAACGCGAAGAGGAAGGCAATCTTACTCCTATTATTCAAACTGCTGAATGTACATATGCGTATATAAAATACAATAATTTGTATATTGTGTCAACTACGAAAAAGAATGCAAACATTTCCTTAGTATTTGTGTTCTTGCATAAATTAGTGCAAGTGATGCAAGAATATTTCAAAGAATTGGAAGAAGAAAGCATACGAGACAATTTTGTTGTCATTTATGAACTTTTAGACGAGTTAATAGATTTTGGATATCCACAAACTACAGACAGTAAGATATTACAGGAATATATTACTCAAGAAGGACACAAACTTGAAATTCAACCACGCATTCCTATGGCTGTGACTAATGCTGTATCTTGGAGGTCGGAAGGTATAAAATACCGTAAAAACGAAGTGTTCCTAGATGTAATAGAATCGGTGAATCTTTTAGCAAATGCTAATGGAAATGTTTTAAGCTCTGAAATTGTTGGTGCCATAAAAATGAGAGTATATTTGTCTGGAATGCCGGAATTAAGACTTGGATTAAACGATAAAGTTTTATTTGAATCTACAGGGCGTGGAAAGTCTAAATCGGTTGAATTGGAGGATGTGAAATTTCATCAGTGTGTCAGATTATCTAGATTTGAAAATGATAGAACAATTTCTTTTATTCCTCCTGACGGAGAGTTCGAATTAATGTCTTACAGATTGAACACACACGTAAAACCATTAATATGGATTGAATCTGTCATCGAGCGACATGCTCACAGCAGAGTAGAATACATGATAAAGGCAAGATCACAATTTAAAAGGCGTTCTACAGCCAATAACGTAGAAATAGTGATTCCAGTGCCCAATGATGCAGATTCCCCTAAATTTAAGACTACTATTGGCAGTGTTAAATATTCACCGGAGCAGAGTGCAATAACTTGGTTCATCAAATCATTTCCCGGTGGTAAAGAATATCTAATGAGGGCACACTTTGGTCTACCGTCTGTTGTTGGGGAGGATGTGGAAGGAAAACCACCGATTCAAGTTAAATTTGAAATTCCATATTTCACTACTTCTGGGATACAAGTGCGTTATTTAAAGATCATCGAGAAAAGTGGATATCAAGCGCTACCGTGGGTGAGGTATATTACACAGAATGGAGATTATCAATTGAGAACAAATTAAATAGAAACAAAGATCCTATAGAATATGAAATATTCACAGTATTGAAAGGTAGATTTTCATTATTGGATTTTATTTAACGGAAGTAGTGTAATTGCAATATTTTTTTGCAGTTTTACACTTTTAGAGACTTTTACAATAATCTCCTTTTATGATACCATATATTATGATACCATATATGGAAATGCATAGTACTTAATTTATTAATTGTAAATTTCTTTCAATTAATGTTTGTTAAAAAAATAAAAAAAATCAATATTTTCCATATACAGGGGTTATAGCATATATTATAATATATATTAAATAATCGAAATATAAAGAAAATAATTGTAAATATATCTGAAATTATAATATTCGAATGTTTTCATGGAATTGTTAATTGTAACGAATTAATAGACATTTTTCTGTACTAATTTAAACTTTAATAGTATTAAAATCAGAATTGCTACTGTACATCAATATGATGACAAATAACAATATTATTATAAACCATGTATTAGTAACATTAAGAAACTCAAAAGATTACATTAAATTTTTAACAGAAATTATCCACGCTTTATCATTCTCACCTTATCTCTTTCATTAAATCTCATTTCGTTTATTTACAAATTTTTCCACCTTTCTTTTTTCTTTTTCATCATTTTATTTCACATATCGTATAACACATTTTAAATATCAAACACCATATAGATTTTTTATTTTTAAATTTATCCAACTTTCTCGAATAAACGAGTTTTATCATTTATATCATTCACCTTCGTTCACCTTCCAATCGTTCAATATTTTTAAACGACACGAACAAAATCCGTGTCAAGAAATAAAATTTACTCGTGTCGACAATCAAGCAGGAAAAAAAGAGGAAAAAAAATATATTTAAAGAGAAACATCAATATCCCAATAAATAGAACCATTTTCCCTCCTCTGCTCTATTTCACCCATCTACCTAATTCAACCCCGATAAAATCTACATTCGCCGAGGTATATTCGAATAAACCAGGCCGTCGAGTTGAGCGGAAGTTATTCCAACTCGAAAGGTCCCCCCCCCCCCCGTGAAACTGGGACTACTCGCAAAAAAGAATATACCACGAATTCGGCCGATAGCTTTTCAAGGCAATCGAAGATGGTGGTGGGGATTGGACGAGAGAACCGGTCGGTCTCGGTTCCCCTTCGAAAGCTTGGTAAATATTCCACTATAGAACGAGGTTGAATCGTGCGGAGAGACGGTGGAACACGGAAACCCGATTAGAGCGAAACGCAGCGGGCCTTTTTTATTCGCGCTCCACCGACACGGTCACGCTATGCAAATTTCGGTGGTGTGCAGGGCGTGTAATAATTTTATGGAAATTGCCGGTCCTGCAAAGAATTTCGAAACGCAACGAGTATGTATGTATATGTACGTACCGATGTACGCACTCTTCACCATAAGTACGTAGGTAGACAATCCTTTTAATCGTAACAATTGTTGTTTCGAAAGAGTTAATCACTCGCGAAATTCCAGTAAATTTTATTTACCTCGATAAACATTTGATATTGTTATAATTATAATTATAAGTTTTGTATTGTTTACCAGTCTTGAATTGTATTATTTATCTTTCCATTATTTCATAGCTAATATTTCTCTTTCGTAACTTTTATATAAAAGTTTAAATGATTCTGTAGCGCAACATATAGATATATAAATTATTCAATTTAATATTGTTATCAGATCGTGTCAATCGATCCTTCCAAGTAATAAGTAATTCACACGATTTATGAATTGAAGTGTATATCAGAGGAGGATGAAAAAAGGACGAGAGGATTTCGAAAATTCTGCGAGATCAGTTCATTTTCCTAAAGAGATCCTTTATATTTATTCGTCGTACAATTTTTAAGGAATTTTCTTTCTTTCTTTCTCAACTATCATTGATACTACGAACGGAATATTAACAAAGTTGTGCAAAATGGTTTCGTTACGCGTTATGCATTATGCATCAGAATTGATAATACTCTTATCTAGGTTAGAGGAAATATTTTTATGCGGGTCCTAGTCGTTGATTTATACCCGTAGCTATTTTACACCTACACATCTAAGTAACGGTATTTACGACACAAGATTCGTGATTTAGACGTATTTCTTAGCCGAGGTAATAAATAATCCAGAGATGCATCAGCTCTCATTTCTTTTTTTCTCTCTCGCCATTTTGCGCATAGAATTTATGTATATATATATATATCAATTCGCAACACCGGATCGCCATATATTTGCCCGGAATTTTCGTTCACGAGATGCATTTATACATGCGTGTTTTACGTAATACTCGAGATAATACTCGATCAAATAAGTTTAAAATCATTCTTTAAGTTTTCCATTTGCTTTGTCTGCACATCTTGTACATCTGTATATACCTATACATACGTATTACAGCCTTCGAGATCAGATCAATAAAGGTTAACGTATTCTCAACGAGTTCTCCGCAGGCGGTAGCAATTTTCAGCTTATCGAATCGCACCGCATGGACGCTTGGAGATCTAAATATAAATACTTTATTACATCAGAGGGATAATTTATAGTTGCGAGCCATTATCGTGGGGTTCGGAGGTATCGATGGACGGTGCTATAAGTTTCGGTCGAAAGCCTTTCTTTGCGAGATGATTTTCCAGGGAAAAAGAAGCAAGGGGAAGAAACAACGTCGATATTTCTCGTCTGGATGACGATGTACTCAACAAAAGTATCGCGTCGAGTCTTAAACGTTCATATTTTCATCATCAAACATCGAACGAATGTCGATGAAAATTATTTTTACGCAATCTCTTTTAATACGTACACTTCAAACGTGTTCACATCCTAAGGATTAACGAATTAAAGAAAAATAGACAAACAACTCCTACTTTTATTCTCAAACAAACAACGTGGACAATCAACGTTCTTCCTCCAAAATATCTCTCGAGAATTTGACGCTGTGAATGTGCGTAATCGATCGCTGAGAGAGCGATTCACGATTTCACCATTTCGCCTAAACGCAACGGTTCCGCTAATAGAAAAAGCAAATTCACCGAGGAAATCAGGATCAGTGGAAAAGGAAGGGGCGTGCGATCCCCCGAGGGGATCGCACACGTCTCGAGTAGTATCGATCTCTCGATCGGGCGTGGAATCGCCTGTGGGACGCAGGAATTCTGGCGGGGCCGATTTAAAAGTTGCATCGCGAGATCTCCACAGACAGACGTCTGCTCGTCCACGCCGCAGGATATTAAAAACTTGGCGGCGGGGATATATAACGGGTGTCAGCCCGACTGGATACGCCGGGGGAGGAATAAAAGTGCGACTTGCAGCGGCAAGGGGGGGGGGGGAAATGTAACACGCCCCAAGTTTTCGGTTCGTCTCGAGGGGGAGGAGAGAGGAGAGCAGTCCGTCCGAGAGAGAAACTGTCGGCGACGGAGATTTAGACGACGTCGTCCTTAAGATGCCGCGCTTGTGTAACGATACGAGAGGGGATGTTTTGTGTGAAATTTTGACACGGTCGAAACGTTTTGAGAAGATTTACGATCGAAGCTCCCCGATTGATCGTTTTGCCGTTTTTCGAAAATATCTCTTGCGGAGATAATACATTTTAATTGGTATTTGTTGGATGATTTATCGATATAACGACGATATATCTTGATACGAAATTTCTTAATAACAATCTTTAAAAATGTTTCTTGAAAAGTATATTAATCGTGTATATTTGACAATCATTGCTTTGAAAGTATTTGAAACATTGTCTTTGACGTGAAGAGATAATTTAAACCTGGTAATTTTTATGCGCATGATTTACGTAAAGACTGCAATATGATTTTTTAAATAACAATTTTTAAAAGTTTCTCGAAATATTAATCATATATTTTATTTGACAATCACTGCTTTTTGAAAGTATTGTAATATTGTCTTTGACGTGAAGAGATAATTTAAATCTGGTAATTACTTATGTGTATGATCTACTATGATCTAAAGATTGCAGTGTGATTTTTTTTTAATAATAAAAAAGTTTCTTGAAACATTAATTATGTTTTATTTGACAATCATTGTTTTGAAAGTGCTGTAACATTGTCTTTGACGTGAAGAGATAATTTAAATATGGTAATTTTTATGTGCATGATCTGCGTAATCACACTGTGAGTGTGATTTTTTTAAAGATGCAACATTCCGGATGTACAAAATCGATATTAAATGCAAGTCGAGAGCAATAATTAAACAATTTGATAATACATTGATTAATGATAAACATTCCTCGACAATTTCGACAACTGTTTGTCGAACGTACAACTCCAACTAAATTCGTACAAACTGAGTGCAAACAGAGTAAAGTTGCAAACCTATCTATCCCAACTTGCTCGCTTAAATTCCGGGAAAGAAAATTGAATAGAAATCTTTAACTCTTGAAAACGATCGGGCAAAGTACACAGGCAGGAAGGAGGAATTAAATTTGTCCTCCCCTGTAAGCACTTTCTCGTCTCTCCAACGCGAAATGGAACTCTTAAATCGAACCCTTATTCGTTGGCGCAAGTGAAACGAATCAACGATTCACTATTTCAGACTTAATTTCAGACCGAATAACGACGATGTCTGCCAATGTCGTTTAAACTCCGTTCCACCAAATCCATTGAATTACAGAAATATGAATCTCAAAACGGATATAACTTCCGAGCTCTGTCCGACGTTGTATACATTCGGGGAGATACACGTTCCACAGGAGTTTGCCATTCGTAATTCAACTCGAGTTTATGCTCCTTGTGTACAAAGTGTTGGCGCCAAGTTACAGCCGTCAGAAATACTCACCCTCCCGCTTTTCAATCCTCCGAAAGCCATCCGTTTCCGGCGGAAGTGGGAGCGCGAGACTCGGTCCCCGGTGGTAAGTGACACCATCTCGCGAATCTAAGAGTGTCAAAAGTTTGCTGCTTGTTTATTCTGTTTTTTTTATTTTCTTATATCACTCAGCGAGGATTGGCAAGAAACGTGTACAGATCTTTTCACGCGTATTTTCTTCTTTTTTTTAATCGTCAAAATAGGACTCGCAAAAGTTGGGAAACTAAAAAACCGACCCATATCCTTGTGATTTATCGTTGAATAAAGATTGACTCGTTTGTGAATCGTTGCAAAGCTGATATATTGCGTTCTTCTCTTAATAATCCTGTTGTGCGTTGCTCGAGGCAGTTAAGCGTCGTAATATCCTCCTTTTCCCGGTACTTTGCACAAAATTTGACGTCGTAACGGCATTTCAGAGTCTGAGATAGCGCGGCCTCGGCAAAACAACCGGTGATTAATGGCGATGCGTCAGGCTTCAATACACCTCCGGTTTTCCAAACCTGTAAGACGGCCCTCCTCGCACACATGTCTATACCATTCACCGTCACCTTTTCCATCGTCGAAAAGAAAAGGCAGGAATTTCATTATTATCATTATTCTCTTATCAAAGGCATGAATATTCGAAAAAGCTAAAGTTTCGTATGAATGTCGGACACGTTTATACCACATGGATAGACTTTGAAAGTTATTTCGAACGTTAATAAGAATGGTAATATTTTTTA